TACAGGGTTGGTATAAGAGTTACAGGATTAATCTCCATAAACGATTTAGTGTATGTCTGGAACATATCCATTATGTTCAATAATGGCTAAATATTATGACTGTTATTTTAAGTAATTGGATGAAGAGAAAAAAGATGTACTTATTGAGAGGTACAGCTCCTTAAACACTACCATGTTATTAGCTAATCATCCAGAGCTTTGTAAGGAAGAACCTGCTCTTCAAGTATATCAGTGGATTCAAATACTTCAAGAACTTCATCAATCTGTTCAACCTAAATTTGTAAAATCTACAAAATCTGGGACAAACTAGGCCACCATTTGTTCAGGTAATACCCAATACAGGGGGAACTGAGGGAGGGGGCCTTTCACTTACCAAGCCCTGTAAAACAGTAGCTTTGGGGTATATATAACCCAGAAATATGTGTGTGTGTGTGTGTGTGTGTGTGTGTGTGTGTGTGTGTGTGTATACACAGATACATATATATATCTCCCAGAAGTATACATATATATGTATACACACACACACACATAAACACATACATATACACACACACTTCTGGGACATAAATATGTGTATATATACTTATATACATATATATATATATATAATTTAAATTTAAAAAAATGCTTCATATAAACTAGCAGCAGCCCTGGGGTCCAATCCTAAATCCCACAGCAATTTAGGATCTTGACCAAATCCTCTGCCATACCCTGGCTTTCCTTCTTCAGGCAAGATTATATAGAGGAACCCCTCCCTTGGGGTTTACAAGCATGGGGAGCCGTGCTCCAGGGTTTCTGGGAAAGACAACCAATTCAAACAAGCCTATTTTACCTGTCAACTCCACCCAGAAGCTGAAATGGGGAGGGAGGCTGTCTTCTTTCTCCCTAGAGAGCTCAGACCTCAATTGTGCTTTAAAGGTATTGCTTGAGCATTGAGGTATAGGAGCCAGAGGGAGCAATGATGATTGCCTTCTCAAATAAACCGCTTTTTCTGTTTCCTGTTTCTTTCCAGCCACCCAAATGAATGGTTGAGAACTTTGTTGCCAACCTTTGCCTTTGAGTCCCTCTATCTGAACTGCTACCTTCCTATCCACCTAGATAAATCCTGGTTGTCCTATCAGACTTAGCTTTCCATAATCCACAATAGTCTCCCATCCCAGAATGAGGTATGGATTTATTTATTTATCAAGACAAGGTCTCTCTCTGTCATCCAGGCTGGTGTCTAGGGGCACAATTATGGCTCACTGCAGCTTCAGCCTCCTGAGCTCAAGCAATCCTCCCACCCCAGTCTTCATCCAGCTAATTAAAAAAAAAAAAAAAAAAAGTCTTGTAGTGACAGGGCCTCACTATTTTTCCTAGTCTGATCTTGAACTCCTGGGCTCAAGTGACCCTCCCATCTCAGCCTCCCAAAGTGCTGAGATTACAGATGTCAGCCACTGTACCCAGCCTCCTGTACTTTCTTATATCATCTTGCACATACTTCCCAGAATGTAAATCCATGAGGACAGGACCTGCGCCATCTTGCACACAGTTTTACTTTGAGCACCTAGAACAGTGTCTGACACAAAGTAGACATCCAGTAAATATTATCGAATGACTGAATAAATGAATCATAGTACAAATAAAGAAGGAAAAAAAGCAATACTATATAACCATAATTGACTTCTATGGAGAATAGAGAGTAGATCTTGGAACATAAAAGTCCCCTTACCCAAGCACCAGGATGGATTTAGGTATGAACAAAATGGGCCTGGATTTGAATTGTGGGGATGCATGAAAAGCATAGAATTACTCTGCACAACAGACAGCAAGAACATCCTGAAGTGGAATTTGGAGAGGGTAGAATGCAGTACATGAGGGATGGTATGAGGAGTAGAACTGGGAGATGGATGAGAAGATTGGCAGGAGTATGGCTGCTGTGTGGGCTAAAGCAGATGGTGAGAAGGCCCTGATTGGGGTTGGGGGATGATGGCAAATGGGCTCCTAACAGGAATGTGCACTCTGTCATTTGAAGTTTATTGCTGTGCTCTCCCGTGACCCAAAAACTCTCAGTTCAAGTTTTTGCAATACATTATCAGCCTGGTTTTTATGATTGCTTTGTGTGTGGTGTAGGGGAGGGAGAATAGATGAGAAGGAGTTGTCTCCCAAGCTTGGGTTTATGCCAGGACAAAGATAAAAGAACAGCTACAAGAAGCACAGTAGAGGAAAGCAGGAAATCAGAGCAGAACTGACTGCAAATGCAACAGAAATCTTGGGAGCAGTCTTTGGGCTTCAAAAGGACATGAAATGGAGGCTTTGTGCTGATTTCAGTCAGATCTCAAGGGGCCAGGAGGTACCAGCTAATGCCTGAGACACACTATGCATTGTACATAAAGGTTAATTTTCTTGCCTTTCTTTCAGTCCCTTGGGTGGTGTTTCTTGATAGCAGGGGTTTTCTTGTTTGTAGGAACATCTAATCTCCAGCACAGTGTCTAACAGACAGTAGTTACTATTTATTGAATAAATAAATGAATGGCTTTACCATAAACCTTCTTCCTTGGAAACTACCTAAGATTAACGAGAAAAAAAAATCAAATAAAAGAGTGGGAGGGAAGAAGAGAGAGAGAGATGGAAATATGGATTGAAGTGGAGAAGCAGAGAGAGAGGGAGAGAGAATTAGTATGGCATCCTAATAAATACAACCTGATGGTTTTCTCAGACAACATTTTTTCCATATCTCTCATTTTTTATAGTTTTTATTTTTTATTTTTCTGAGACAGGCTCTCACTCTGCCACCCAGGCTGGGGTGCAGTGGTACGATCTCAGCTCACCGCAGCCTCTACCGCCCAGGTTTAAGCAATCCTCCCACCTCAACCTCCCAAGTAGCTGGGACCACAGGCACACATCACCACGCCCGACTAATGTTTGTGTTTATTTGTAGAGACAGGGTTTTCCCTGTAGCCCAGACTGGTCTCAAACTCCTAAACTCAAGTAATCTGCCTGCCTCAACCTCCCAAAGTGCTGGGATTGTGGGCGAAAGCCACCATGCACAGCCATATCTCTCATTTTGAAAAATCTACCATTTATCTTTATCCTCCAAAACTTCCCTAATGCTAGAATTAGGTTAAATGGTGCTAAACACTTGGTGGATAATCTTGATGGGTGGTCCCCCTCATGCAAAACCCACGTACATCCTAATAGGATGCAATCTCATCTCAGTGAGAGCCATGCGTTGCCTGGCCAGTATTTGATTAGGAGGTTGACTGATTGACTGATTGACGGATTGCATTTCAAGGACAGAATGTAACCGGGACAGCAGTGGCCTCCATGCTACTATGAGTTTGCCTAAAGGCAATGGTTAAATTGAGTAATAAGACTCCTAGGCCTCTATGAAAAAGCTAAATGCAAATTGTTTGGTCAGAGGATCTGAGGTTGTACCTCTGCAATAGAAGTTTTACAGATTATGGAAATAAATCATAACAGCATGTACTAACACTAATTTTTAAAAATCAGTTTATCTTCATTTCCCTGAGAATTTAATCAATTGGTAGAAGAAACAACTATAATAAAATCTGATTTTCAAAAATGTAAAGATGTGAGCTGGGCATGGTGGCACACACCTGTAGTCTCATCTACTTGGAAGACCAAGGGGTTGCAGGCCAGCCTGGGCAACATCAAAAGACTCTTTCTTCTAATAAAAGTTAAAGACGCAAGACTTAAAAATAAGCTTTTCAGTCCAGTCTAAATACATAAAAAAACCAAATGTCATAAGCTTTTCTTATTATTTCAGATTTATTCAGTACTAAAGTAGCAATTAGTTACTAACAATACAGATCAGTAAGTCAGGTAAAATGATTTCTTCTGGTGGCCCATATGAATATGCCGTTAAATTAAATTAACCCACCGTTGAAATTACAAATACGATTAAAGTTTATTTTCCCCAGATGAAAACACATTTCAGTAGGACAGAGACTACTAGTCTGTATCCTCACTGTAATGATCTAATAGGATAGACATTTGCCTTGGATGCACTATGGAAAGTATCTGACTTTGGGCACAAAACTTTGCTCTCATTAAAGGTATTATAGAAGTGCTTTTTTCTTAAAATAAAATGTAACACAAATTGAGTTCACTCTCAGGTCTGCTTAACTCTTATTCTCTATATTATTTTGAAAAACAATCTCTCCTTCCCTTCTCCCTTTATATTATGGGACAAAATATACTACCACCAGGCAAGCTTAATGTGTGGCTGCAGTATAGTTCTTCTATCATGGCTGCACCCACAATCCAACCTTGTCTTCAGCTTACTTGCCCTCAGATTCTGAACATTATAGGCAGCTGGTATTCCCCAAGGCCAGGATTATGGCTAACGGGTGGTAAGGAGAAAAGCACCTGTCATTCTCCAAAAATATGACCTGCCAACAAAATGTGGACAGCTCAAGGAACCATTTCCAAACATGGAAACAGGACTGGATCAGATTTGGGCAGATGGAAGCTTTTCCCAGTTCTTGATTTTGCCAGTCTACCTAGCTGATTTCTAAATCACTCAACACAGGATGAACGGGAACAAAAATGATCTCTATTCCTAACACTTTGGAGCTATTAAAAATAAAGTTCTCCTAATAAAAAATACTAGAAAAATTAGGGATTTTAGGACTATTCTAAAACCCTTTATAATTAGGAAAATGTCCTAGCAGAGTTAATGTCTTTAGAAAGTAAGAACCGAATACTTTAATTATGATTATATCATTCCAGGCACTCCCAACTTCGCCTTCTCTGTAGGTACCTGTTGTCACCAAGTTTATATTTTGCTTTGCAGGAACATTTTTAGCTATTCGCTGAGTAATGAAAGACACATCTGCCCCTAGTAAAAAAACATAATATGTCAAAGATGCATTAACAAGACTTCCTTTATAAATTGGTTATTTTCTGTCACTCCATGATTTGGGGCTTCGGAGACTTAATTTTCATTTTATTTTCCTATTATTTTTCTAATCATTTTTCTCTATTTCCTTTGACAGCTCCTCTTCAAAAAGCAGTCCCTCAGAGAGCTCATCTGCTCTCAGGGATTCATCCATTGCTGCTGTGCAGATGCTTCAAAGCCTAACCACATGAACAATCAGTTACCAACCATTTACTGCCTGATGAAAGGGAACGAAAGGGATCACAGGGTGATTGCTCTGTATGGGTGTCTTCAGAGCAGTAAGTTCAAAGATAAAAATTTCACCTTTCCAACCAACAAGATGGGCTGAACATTCCAAAACCTCATTTTCTCAGTAGAGTCAAGATTTAAACGGAGGTAACACCCACTAAAGAGCTCTATACTGGAAATTGACAAGGGCTAGAAAAAAAAAAAAAAAAAAAAAAAAAAACACCCTGTCTTCTTGGTGATACACTGCATCACTCCTGGCACCAAACATTTTAGGAATACTTAGTTATCTTCCATTGTTTTACATTTGTGTGTCAGTGATTTGACAGATATTTATTGAACACTTACTCTGGGCCAGGTAGTAGTCTAGATGCAGGCAGGCAGCAGTGAACATGAAAGACCTTAGAGAGCTTTACGAATTTAGAGAGAAAATGCTAACAATAAACACACAAAAAATAAGATACATTCAATTACCAATAAGAGCTATATAGGAGGTAAAAATAAACAAATGTGTTAGAGCCACAGGGGTAGGATGGTAGAGACTGCTCTAGTAAAGGTAATTGGACAATGCCTCTCTTAGGAGATACTATTTGAACTGACACCTGAGTAATGAAGACAGAGGGATGCAAAGATTTAGGAAAAGTACGTTTCAGCCCAAAGGGAGAGCATGAGGCTCTGAGAGGCGGGCAAGTTTAGCACATCTGAAGAATGAAATAAAAGCCAGCGTGTCTGGTTAGTGGTGAATGAAGGAAAAAGCAGGAGATGAGGCAGCAGAACAAGGCAGAGCTCGGCTCATGTGTGGTCCCAAGCTGGGGTTTCTCATCTTCAGCACTAGTGACATCTCATTCTCTGTTGTAGGGGAATATTCTGTGCAGTATAAGACAGTTCATCAGCATTCCTGGGCTCTACTCACTAGATGTCAGTAGGTTCTCCCTAGTAGGGACGAACAAAATTGTCTTCAGAAGACATTGCCACATGTCCCTAGGGGGTAAAATAGCCCCTAGTTGAGAACCACCATTGTAGGCAAAGATAAGAAATTTGGATATTATTAGGGGTGATAGGAAGCTATTAGAACATCTTAGGCATAGAGTGATAAGATCTGAATTTTATGCTAGCTTCTGTGGAGAAAGATAAGAGTGAAGGCAGGGAGGCAATTAAAAGGCAACTATAACAGCCCAAATCAGAGATGGTGAACTAAGGTGTAGCCAAGAGGATTCATCTAGGAATTAGGTGCAGGGTGGTATGAGGAAGAAAAGAACCAAGCATGCTGCTTAGGCTCTCTACTGGAGCCATGAAGTACTTGCGCCTAATCCCTAAGCCTGAGATGTTAATGTCATTTACTGATGGGGATAACTTGCAAGGAGATTTGTGAGCATAGGGATTAGAAATAAAAGAATTATCTTAGCCATATTAAGTTGTGATACCTATTAGATACGCAAGTGGAGATGTCCAGTAGGCAGTTAGATGTCTCAGTATGGCGTTCTGAGAAGTCAGGATTGGAGATTTAAATTAATGAGTCTCCTAGAGATGGAATTTGAAGATGAAAGATTAGATAAATTTACCTAATAGTTTCCTGTGGCAGGATTAAGGTGAATATTAGGTAAATTTGACAATTTTGCATTCATTTTATAATTTTACATTGCCTGGAATATGATCTAGTTTCTCCATATTCTTACCAGTATTTGGTGTTGTCGCTATTTTTTACTTCAGCAATTCTGATATGTATATAATGATATTGTCATTATTTTAATTTGCATTTCTCTAATGGCGAATAATGTTGAATATCTTTTAGATCTGTTTATTTTCCACCAGGATGGAAAATAACAAATGACTATAAACTAGCAGCTAAAAACAACAGAAATTTTTTCATTCACAGTTCTGGAGTCCAGAAATCCAAAATCAAGGTGTCAGCTGGGCTGAGACTAGAGGGAAACTGACTTATTTCTTCCCACTTCTGGTGGCTGACAGCAGTCCTTGACTTGTGGCCACATCACTCCAAGCTCCACCTCTGTGGTCACACTGGCTCCTCCTCTTCTATCATATCTTTCCTATGTGTCTCTTATAAAAACAGAATCCACTTGAATCTCCAGCTCAAGTTCCTTAATTAATTACATCTGCAAAGCCCTCTTTCCCAAAGAAGATAACACTCACAGGTTCCAGGTATTAGGACATGAATAAATCCTTTTGTGGGCCACAATGTACTACACCTAGGGAGAGAGTATGGGTAGAAAAGATAAAGGATAGAGCCTCGGAGATGCCAGCAGAGAGAAGTTGATAGAGAGCTTTGTGTTGGGCTAAGTGAAAGTTGACAGAAGTTGATAGATAGCTTTGTGCTGGGCTAAGTGAAAAAAAAGGTGATAGAGGGGGAATGAATGAGGAAAGTATGGCCAGGCAATGCAGTGGTCACAGGTGACCAGGGAGAGACAGCCTCTAGGTCATGTTTCTTTTGAATCTCCTAGGTTTCTTGAATTGAAATAAATGTTTACAGGGATCTTTTTAAAAAGCACATTGTTCGTGTCATTTAACTCACTTAGGATTGTTGGAAAAACTCAAGATTAATCACCCACACATTTATGGCTTTAGGTGAGCACCTGGAAAAAGTGAGAGAGAACAAAAAAGCCCTTTTTTATTTTGTGCCAAGTTTTTACTATAATGGTAACCATCACTCTTAATTCTTCATTCTCAAGCCTACAAAGGGGGAACATTTGAAATCTATTTAGCATTGGAACTGGCAGCAAACGTTCAAAGTTAAATTTAGGATGCAAACCTCTGTGATTGGTCAGCGAAGTAAAAGAGGTGGGGAGTAATGATTTGAGGCAACTGCTTTCCTTTGATGTCCTGATATGGTAACTGGGAATATATCTTGATACAATTAATATACGTCACTCTTGGGGAAAATAAGTTCATGGTCTTTCCGTAAAAATAATAGATTCAGTGTTGCCAATAACTTTGCAGTCAATACATGTTGCCTTACTAATTGATGAATAAACAGATCCTAAAATCCTTTGAATAGAAATATACCATGTAGGGTCAAAATGTCATTTGTCTTACAATGAAAACATTGATACCTTAGAGAAACACAGTTTCAATCAAAGTAAAATTGGATTTATGGACCCAGAATGCAGAAACATTGGTCTTTCCTCCCTCCCCACCAAAAAATCAGAAGTGGTTCCTTGTGGCTAGAAGGGCACCATAGGACTTAACCCTCAAAATCTCTAGGGAGAGAAATCGGAGGAAAATGTCTTCTAACCAACTCTCCTTGCTCCTAGAAGGAACATGATGACCAAAGCAGTCTGTTTCCTGAGATGGTTGAAGACTATAGGAGGAGGTGCAAAGAATTTTCCAGAGTTTCCCTCTGCTCACACAACTGTGGACACGTTGTAAGGCAGAGTTACTCAAGACCGTCATCCCATCCACTGGAAATGCATTTGGCGCTTGTAGTCTTGTGCTTTCGAGTCCCTCTCCTCCATTACCCACTCTCACACCTACCCACCACGAGGATCCAAGGGGTAAACACAAAAACTTAAGACCAAGACCTGCTTGTCTAGGTCCTTAAGCCTCCCAAGCAAGTATGATATTTCTTAAGTCATGGACTATTCAATTAATTAACTTGGTGTACAAAGGTGAAGAAAAGCATGTTTCATATGTGAAATGAGAGAACTTAAAGTAATATTACATGTCTCAAAATATTTGAGATTAAGTTCCATCTGCACTTCCTCCGGCTAAATCACCCCGCCCACAATGTACATGCACTGCAGGTATCCCAACCAATATTCTGACATAAGTAAGTATGTGGATGGACTAATGGGAGCATAAAACACATATTTTTTTGAGATGTGAGAAGGATGAAAACAATGCCCGCTATTCAAAAATGCTAAGAGTAAAATGCCTTGAAACATAAAAAGTTAAAGCAGAAGTGTCAAGGCATTGCTGAGGCTAAGAAATGAGCACAACTTGCCAAAAAGTCGAAAGTTCAACAAGCAGCTCTTTTATGTGTCTAGAGAATTAGCTCATCTCAGCACTGTGTTCTCCACATCAGTGGAGGTGCAGGGTGGGGGTTGGCAAGAAAAGTAGCTGCATATTCTTGACTTTTCCCATTGAGCTCTGACAGGAGTGAGCAGCCATGGGTTCTAGTTCAGGCTCTGTGAGCTTCTCATGTTGTGACTGAAACAAGTCCTTGCCTCTCTCTAAGGCCCTCTCTCTCCATCTGCAAGACAGGAGTACTAACAGACATGCCAAGTCATTTACAGGTTTGTTGTGAGGATAACAGGTATTAGTGAAGATGGAAGAGCTTTGCAGAAGTTTGAAGACGTAAGTCATTTTATTACATAGTAAGAGGCATCAGGATGGAGACCTTGTGACACTGTTTAAGGCCCCATAATCAGCTAAGACAGTCACCATTCTTTCGACTCCAAAATAATAATTAGAGTAGCTACCATGTATTTAGTGGGTCCCATGAACAGAGCATTTAACAATAATCTTTTATTTATGGTTATTACTTCCACTTTTATAGATTAAAAAAAAAAAAGTCTGGAGAGGTTATGTGACTCTCCAAATCACAATTCTGGTAAATGGAGGGGGAGGGAGACTATATCCACATCTGATTCTGAAGCACACACTCTTACACACTAGTCATACTGGCCAAAGACCAGTGAGATGTGCAGCATAGCCCCCAGTTGCATGGGTGGGTGTGTTAACAGAACTTAGCTTACCTCTTCTCTTAACTAATCCTCACGAGCTCTTGCAAATCAGAAGTATTCAGTAGGTCCCTGCGACGGAAGATCATAGAGAACTTCCTTTGGGAGGAACCTCCTGTATTTGTGGGGAATGGCTTTTACAAACAAAGACCCAAGTTTCAAAGATCCATTATATGAATCAGATTTGCCAGTGCACCCTTGGGATTTATAATGCAAGTCCACAGCTTCTTATCAGCATGTCATTTTTTTTTTTTTTTAGATGGAGTCTCACTCTGTCACCAGGCTGGAGTGCAGTGGTACAATCTTGGCTCACTGCAACCTCTGCCTCCTGGGTTCAAGTGATTCTCCTGCCTCAGTCTCCCAAGTAGCTGAGATTATAGGCACTTGTCACTACACCTGGCTAATTTTTGTATTTTTAGTAGAGATGAAGTTTCACGATGTTGGCCAGGCTGGTCTCGAACTCCTGACCTTAAGTGATCTGGCCATCTTGGCCTTCCAAAGTGCTGGGATTACAAGCATGAGCCACCACATTCAGCCAACATGTCACCTTTTGCCTCTATTCTCCATGTACCTAAAGAAAAGGGTATCAGAGTGAAAGTCACCCAAGCTCTACTGTTCAGAGACCATTTTATTTTACTGTGTGTTACACTTACCTCCCCCACTCCTACCAAGCTTTCTTCCTCTTGTATTCTGAATATAGTGACTGCTTGATAAGAATTCCTGATTGATTGGCTGGCTAAGAATAAGAAATAATTGATTTACCCAATAGGAAATGATTCTGATTTTGATAAAATAAAAATAATTACAGTTAAATGAGTAAAGTTATGACTACTTATGTATATGCTATGTAATTTGAGTTTGCAGATTCAATTATCTTTTTCTATGTTCTCATTCTCCTTTTTTCCCTGCAGCTTTTGGAACTTTGACTGCAATAGTTTTACCTTGAAACCATTTCCTTCGTTGACACTCATGAAGCTTATGCTATCCCAGTTCCCCACAGACTCTAGTTTTAGTGTCCTTCCTGTTTCTTCTGCAGACTTTTCTGTATACTCTTCACACAAGGACATTATCTAAGATTATATCAGCCCCTCAGTTTCTCTTTAAAATCAGTCCTTATTTATGATGATTACTTCTAAATCAGCATCTTCAAAACCCCAATCTCTCTTCTCATTTCCAGTTTGTATCTACTTTTTATTTAGATTCCATCTTACTGTTACCCAGGCTTAAAATTTTTGAAATAATCTTTGATGTTTCCCCTCAGGTTTCCATAACCATTCAGACAACCTCTAAGCAATATTTTTAGGAATGATGCCTTCCTTTTTATTTATTCAACACATATGTATTAAATTCTAGCCCCTTATCATGAAAAATGCACCAATTTCCAGGTAAGACTCTGCTTCCTTTTTGCCACCCTTTATTTCTCTTGCACTTGGTTGCCAGATTAATATTCTCCCAAACATTTTTTTCACTTTCCCACTCTTTTTCTTGACCTCTTAAGATAACTCTGCTTTGTCTATGAAATGAAGTCTACATTCTTTGCCTGAGAGTCACATCATTGTAACATCTGGATTTAAGCAACTTTTCTAAATATATCTACTTTTCTCTACTTGAGACTGTTGCTCTGGGCAAACTGGTTTTCCCACTATCCCCTACAATAATGCTTTGTACATTTCGGCTCAAACCTTTCTTCCTGCTGAGAATGCCTTCTATCCTCTACTTCTTTCATCCAATTCTGCCAATTTAGAAGGCCCAGTTCAGTACTTTTCCGTACTTTTCTTTCTAAGAAGCTTCCCAAATTGCCCCAGTCCACAGTAAAACAGGCAGGGGAAATGTATACTCGATATCTGCAGCTATTGCTGTCTCAGAGGCCATGTGTCATCTAAGTTCATAATATTGTAGGACA